TGACACGGGCTTTTGTAAAACTTAATGTATCATCTGGTTTAGATGCATTTTTTTCGCTTGTTCCTACAGATGATGGAGGCAAAGCTGGTTGATCTGTTTCACGAAACTCACCTTTGTTGATGGATTAGTGCGAAAAAATTGATGTTATTTCTGCCTGTCTTGGCTTTGCTGCTGCTTTCTCAAGTTCTTTTGCGACTTGTTTTTGTTTCGATCAGCCTTTGGCATCTTGAGGCAAGTCTCAACGATATTTTTGATCGGAGATTCCTGAACCAGGTCAGCAAGCCAAAATGATATAACAAATCGCTTTCGCTGTTGTTTTAAAAGTGATGGTATAATTTTTTTGATTTCCCAGTAGCTGTCCTTTGTTTCAGGCTTCCTGTTTTTTCGAATACAAAAGGCGCCTACAGCGAAGTAAGAGAAATATGACACTTTACTGACTACTTCCGTTTGTTTTCGTGATTTGAACTAAACATGCAAAATCAAAAATTAATGTTGACAGGCTTCAAAAAGGCCTTTAGGGCCAGGTCAAGCATTGGTAAAAAAAAGTCAAAGTTCTTCTAGAAAAGGCACTCTTGCTCCCCCTGCTCCCCCAACTAAAAGGCAGGAGAGGCGCTTGCTCCCCCTGCCCCCCTCTCCGGCGTCCCTGACGAGGGAGATAAGCAGAAGTATTGTTGTGCAAATTGTGATACAAGCATCAAAATTCCAGAAAGCACCAAGTTTGATACGCTGAAAAAGATGTGATATAGACCCAAATCATATCTTGTCCATAAGATCTTTTTTTAGACTGGGGTACTCCGGCCAAGACCCCTAATTGTACTTTGGTCATAAACGGGGAACGCCATCCCATAGGAAGTTGAAATTCACATTAAAAAGACAGTTTAACTAGACAAGAAAGATGTGATATAGACCCAATTTATAATTTGACCCTAAATTCTCTTTTTAGACTGGGGTACTCTGGTTCACACGCCTAATTGTACAATTGGCCATAAACAGAGAATCCTAGTTCATAGAAAGTTGAAATTCACAATATTTAGGCAGTTTGACGAGCCGAAAAAGATGTAAAATAAATCCAATTCATTTGATGCCCCTAAATTCTATTTTTAGACTGGGGTACTCTGGTCCAGACCCCTGGCCACAAACAAAGAGCGCCAGGTCATAGAAACTTGGAAATCTCGATATAAAGGCAGTTTGACATGCAGAAAAAGATTGGATATCGAACCAAATCATATCTTGCCTTGCCCCTATGTTCTATTTTTAGACTGGGGTACTCTGATTCAGACCCCTAATTCTACCATTGGCCATAAACGGAGAACGGAAATTCTCAATATAAAGGCAGTTTGATACGCTGACAAAGATGTGATATAGTTCCTATTCATGTCTTGCGCTCTAAAAATAGAACAAGGGGAGCAATTTTCAGTCGGGGTCCATATCCTATCTTTTTAAGCGTATCAAACTGCCCCTTATTGCAAAGTTTCATGCTTATCTATCAAAGTGAGACTGAGAAATGATAATACCGTCAATAAAGGTCTAGGGCACAATACCCCAGTCTAAAAATAGAACAAAGGGGCAAATTCAAGTTAGGGTCTTTATCCTTTCATTTTTAGCGTATCAGATTGTCACTTGTTACAAAGTTTCATGTTATTGTACATACTTACAGCAGAGATATCGTAATATCGCCGCTAGAATCTTGGGGCAAAGTACCCCAGCTAAAAATAGCTGAAGGGGGCAATTTTCAGTTCGGTTCCCAATATATCTTTTTCAGCGTATCAAACTGCCCATTATTGCAAAGTTACATGCTAGTATCACAATTTGCACAATTCGACCTAATAAGTGATTAAACAGGCCTGACTAAATGGTTTCGCCTCGACTCATCACTGTGACGTCACAGCGGGAAATAAAATTTCGCAACGCAACTGCAAAATATGCATACTTTGACACTCAATAAAAAAAGAACCATTCAACTTATCGGGATTCTGTTTTTTGTATAAGAACAATGGCGAAGGATTCTATAGATTTCTTTTAAAATATTTTAATGGTAAATTTCGCTGCATAGGCACTTTAAGGTTTAACTCAGCGATCATGGAGTTTTAGCCGGCAGTTTCTATTTCTGCACGAAAGGACGGCGCAATTTTTATTGACCATATTTGCAACTTGCCTAACCCTGCGTAGCATGTTAGAGTGCGATACTTGAAAGAAGCTTTTAAGAAACCTGTTTTCGAGATAAAAGACTACGAAAGATGTTTAATAAAAAAACATCTTCGAGATTTCGAATACTTTTGATGTCCCAGTCTCTTTATGCAAATTAAGGACGCGAATACCGAAAAGATGCAGCCCCCCGTCACTAGAGTATAGAGAAGATTGCTTTTCTTTCATAGTGCAGTTCGAGGGGCAAATCACTTCTGAAAATGGTGTACGAGATTAATATTCAATATCGATTGATTTGTGATTAAATCAATTTTGTGTGTGATTAATTTGATTTTTAGTCATAAAAGTGAGTACTTTTTTATTAATTTTTGATTCTTTAGAAACTGAATCATAGATTCAAAAGTGCTCTCAAATAATTTCATGCTCAATAAACGTCGTCAACGATTTTGCAACATACTATATGAAATTAAAAAAGAAAAATTAGCAGTTCAGCACAGGCGTGGATTCAGAAAACAATTTGACCGTTGCAGATTTGCAAACGAAAAAGGTGCAAAAGTTTAATAACATTAACAACTAAAAACAGAGATATCTTTTCTGAACATCAGCTTAAGCAAATACTAAATCAGTATTATAGGTTTCCTACATCATGGATGAAGGGTGACAGTAGCCTGAAGTGAAAAACAGTGAAAAGTTGTTGATCACTTTGAATGAGACATTAAGACAAATGCATGTGCTCTCTTCTGTGGGCTGTTACTTTTGCCATAAGAATTTGAATATGCATTAAAAAAGCTATCTTTCCTGAACATTAGCATTAGCAACATGGAAAAATATGGCCTGGAATGAAAAACAGTGAAAAGTTGTTGATCACTTTGAATGAGACATTAGGACAAATGCACGTTTTCCGTTCTGTAGGCTCTTACTTTTGCCATAAGAATTTGAATATGCATCAAAAAAGCTATATTTCCTGAACATTAGCATTAGCAACATGGAAGCAAATAGCCTGAAGTGAAAAACAGGGAGGAGTTGTTGATCACTTTGAATGAGACATTAGGACAATTGCATGTGCTCTCTTCTGTGGGCTGTTACTTTTGCCATAAGAATTTGAATATGCATCAAAAAAGCTATCTTTCCTGAACATTAGCATTAGCAACATGGAAGCAAATAACCTGGAATGAAAGACAGGGAGCAGTTGTTGAACACCTTGTGAAAGACATTAAGGCAAATACACGTTTATCATTCGGTAGGCTGTTACTTTTGATATAAGAATTTGAATATGCATCAAAAAAGCTATCTTTCCTGAACATTAGCATTAGCAACATGGAAGCAAATAGCCTGAAGTGAAAAACAGGGAGGAGTTGTTGATCACTTTGAATGAGACATTAGGACAATTGCATGTGCTCTCTTCTGTGGGCTGTTACTTTTGCCATAAGAATTTGAATATGCATCAAAAAAGCTATATTTCCTGAACATTAGCATTAGCAACATGGAAGCAAATAGCCTGAAGTGAAAAACAGGGAGGAGTTGTTGATCACTTTGAATGAGACATTAGGACAATTGCATGTGCTCTCTTCTGTGGGCTGTTACTTTTGCCATAAGAATTTGAATATGCATCAAAAAAGCTATCTTTCCTGAACATTAGCATTAGCAACATGGAAGCAAATAACCTGGAATGAAAGACAGGGAGCAGTTGTTGAACACCTTGTGAAAGACATTAAGGCAAATACACGTTTATCATTCGGTAGGCTGTTACTTTTGATATAAGAATTTGAATATGCATCAAAAAAGCTATCTTTCCTGAACATTAGCATTAGCAACATGGAAGCAAATAGCCTGAAGTGAAAAACAGGGAGGAGTTGTTGATCACTTTGAATGAGACATTAGGACAATTGCATGTGCTCTCTTCTGTGGGCTGTTACTTTTGCCATAAGAATTTGAATATGCATAAAAAATCGATCTTTCCTGAACATTAGCATTAGCAACATGGGAGCAAATAGCCTGGAATGAAAAATAGTGAAAAGTTGTTGATCACTTTGAATGAGACATTAAGACAAATATATGTGCTCTCTTCTGTGGGCTGTTACTTTTGCCATAAGAATTTAAATATGCATCAAAAAATCTATTTTTCCTGAACATTAGCATTAGCAACATGGGAGCAAATAGCCTGGAATGAAAAATAGTGAAAAGTTGTTGATCACTTTGAATGAGACATTAAGACAAATATATGTGCTCTCTTCTGTGGGCTGTTACTTTTGCCATAAGAATTTGAATATGCATAAAAAATCGATCTTTCCTGAACATTAGCATTAGCAACATGGAAGCAAATAGCCTGGAATGAAAAATAGTGAAAAGTTGTTGATCACTTTGAATGAGACATTAAGACAAATGTATGTGCTCTCTTCTGTGGGCTGTTACTTTTGCCATAAGAAATTGAATATGCATCAAAAGAATCGATCTTTCCTGAACATTAGCATTAGCAACATGGAAGCAAATAGCCCGGAATGAAAAAAAAAGTGAACAGTTGTTGAAAACCTTGTGAAAGACATTAAGACAAATGCATGTGCTCTGTTCTCTGCCCTCGCAATTGATGTCGCTATTGGGAAATTAAACTATCATTTCTGAAACTTTCACCGATATAAAAAATTACGAGTTCCAGAAATATGGAACTTGATTATCAAACTTTATCTGTCGAAATTACAAGAATCTGACAAATCATTTCAAATCCGGAACAGTCAGCAATGGGTGAAAAATGACTGCTATCTGGCGTGGTTTTCGGTCAGATCAACTTCAGTGGCATTTGGGCAGCAAAAACAGCAATGGTTGTTTCGGTGACCCCGGCATCATAACGAGGCCTTCAATTTTGCTCCATTGCAGGGTACTTATTGAAGCTTGTTGTTTTCGCGCGTATGTTTGCAGATTTTCCAACGTGTTCATGAAAAGATTGGAAAAGTGTGATTGGGAAATTCTAAATATTGAATTTTTCAATAGCAAATCTGGATAAAAGTGGGCAAGGATTCTAATATTTGTTTTAAGTAACTTTTGTGATTAATGTTATACTTTGTGATTAATTTGTTTTTTTTTTATTAATGTGATTAATTTGTTATTAAAGTGTGATTATTCTTGAGACCGTACGTGATTTTAACAAAGATACTGGAATAGTGACTGGATAGGAAACTGCGCAGACAACAATAGGCGATTACGTTTATCTTCCAATCGCGTGTTTTGGAAAAGTTGTAGGGTATAGTCATTTCCGGTTTTAGTCTCACGACCAGGACATTCACCGAAAAAAGCAACATCCAAGAATGGATTTCACCTATTTTAATGGCCAAATCGACGAAGAATTACTTGAACTTGTTGTCGAGGTAATGTAGTCCGTTTCTTTGTGTACTTTAAAGGCGCTGCAGCCATTATCTCTGTCTCCGCGAATAAGAATTTAAGTCATGGCGATGTAGGCCCTTCTATCAAACTTCAATATTTCATTTTCTAACGAGTAATTGCAAGAATGCCGATTGAACATAATGTATGTTCGATGAACCAGGGATAATGCTAGTGAAAATGTTGATTTACATTATAATTAGGCCTAGGTTTAAATTACTTGTTTAAGATACTTGTTTTAAATTAATGATGTTGGCTTTGGCTTGATTTTTCATCGACACGGCAGCAGCACCAGTCAACATATAAACAAATCACGAAACAATAAAATGGAAAGTTTCTCGTATAATCATGTTTCCCGTTTTTGTTATACTTTTGAGGGTACAGAGCTGTGCACCCCTGTAGCAGGTGTACGTCTGGTTAAATTATTATTGAAGTTTTCCTTTTAGGAAACCGCTATTAAATTTTGTGATGACAGTCAAATTTTGTTATTCACCAACAAACGAGGAGCAATGCAAAGAAAAGGAAAGTTAAAGAGCCATATCGTAAGAAAAAGGGGGTGACTTTAAAGGAGAAAGAACATGATGCCCCTCAGATTTGTATGAATTCAATCATTAAGGGTGCTTTAGAATCGATGGCCAACAAGACGGTTTTGGTGGAAATGTATGGAAAGTTCTTCAGAGGCTACTGGAGCTTGCAGGACCTGCTGATACAATAGGGTTCCCAAGAGGTCTTTTTAAGAACAAATTGGAAAGCAAAACCAATTATTTGGATTCCATGTGGGAAAATTTCCAGAAAGTATGGAGGATGAAAATGTTAGAACAAATGTGCAAGCACACTTGAAATGCTCAGCTATCAGGCAAAAGTTAATATTTCTTAAAATACTTCAACAATTGAATATGGATGAAATATGAACTAAACAGCTTGAAATATAGCTAATATTACAAAAATAATTCTAATAGAGAAATATTCATTTTCTGGTCTTTTTAACAATATACAAATCTCATTATGCCAAAATTGCTGGTATTCTAGTTTTTATTACTAGCCCCCTCTATTACTGAAGCATTGAAACACTTTCCTCGCTTTCCAAATAAGAGGAAAGCTACATCTCTTTCTTTTCTTCAGAGGATTTCTCAGAGAGAACAAAATTTGTATCATTCGAAAAGGGGTCCACAGAAACTTTGTTCCGAATATTACCAGTTTTGTCAGCAAGACCTAAGGGTACAGTCTCATCAGAGCTATGTAAAATGACCCAGGGCTGTTTTATTTTGCCAATGCTCTTTTTGAAATCTGTGAAACCTCTTCATTTGTAAAGCACTGGTAAGGGCACCTCTTGAAAAAGTCTTTCAAGCTCATGCCTTTGTTTCCCTTGGTTATTTTCATGACTTCTTTTATGTAAGAACTGTGTAGGCAAACTTCCAACAAGGAGGTCTTTTCTTCCAGTCTTTCCTACAAACAACATTATGAAATAATTTATTGTCAATATGAATACAAGATAAAGAAAATTTGAGTTGCCCCCAACTTTGCTTCTAATTTTGTTAGATATTTTTGTCTCAATGACAGTTGATGATTTTGACACTTTTCTCAGGGGGACTTTCGTCCCATCAGACTATTGCCTGCTTTGTTTATTCAACGGTGACACTGTTGATATTCTCAGTCGACCTATCACCAGCAACTGATTGATAGGAGTTGTGGGGGTCGTGACAGCTCCCCCCAATAATAAGTCAAAAATCGATTGAATTCCTAAGTAATATTTATATAACCTATTTCGTAGCCCCCCTACCCCCGAAAGGATCTTTTAATGAGATCTGCATCCAATCTTAATAGTAAAACTCTTATAAAATAATAGGCAAAAATAATAATCAATGAAAGAAGTAATGAAAGTTACAGTGACTTACCGATCCTAAAGCAATGTTGATCAAAATGCCTTGCGCAGATGTAGGCCCTCTCTGCGTTGAAACTCCTATCGCATCTTTTTACTTTACACAAAAGCTGCGTTCTCCACTCCTTTTTTCTTTCATTTTTCGTTGAAAACGAAACAAGGGACAAATTAGCTTATCTTGGTAAGTCTACAACAGTTAACTACCGTGCCGAATAGCTGCGAAGCTCGTCATTATCAGTCAAAACCAAACAAACCGGAAATGATCATTCCCTACAAGTTTGAATAAGCAGTGATGCGTAACATGTTCTATTGTCCGCTTCGCAGTTTCCTATCCAGTCACTATTCGAGTATCTTTGATTTTAAGCAGTGATTTGCCCCTCGGTGCAGTTAATAGTGGTTCTGATCTTATCTTAAAATTTATGGATTTGACGATTTATTAATCAAATGAATACAAACTGAATGAAAAATATTTTAGCTGCAGACCACTGTATACTTTTGACACAAATCATTTCGACACACATCAATCAAGCAATCGACAGGAACAAATCATGTTCTGTTGACTAATTGCTTGATGTTACAGTAGTAGTAAATTGTATTTTTTATAGAATATAGAATCTTACGATGTATTGCTTTGTTGATTTAGTCCCGTGGTTAAATCGTGAGTAATTAAACGCATTGCTTTTTTGTGGCCCGCTTTCTATGCTTTAATTTGACGAACGATAGCGATATTATCGTATAAAATACTCAGTGCTCAAATATAACTCAGTATACAAAATACTCAATAAAAAACACAGTGCTGCTATCGCAGGTCATTACAATGTGATGTAATGTGTTCATTACGTAGTATGTAAAGTGGCAAACCCATTCTCGGCCTGAAGTTATAAGCTCTATAATCCTGACTTTAAATAATTGAAAATACATAGGTTTATATTATCAATATGTAATTCATATGATAGAAGAACAAGAGAAAGATGTGAGAATATCAGTTCCAAATTATCAGAAAATAGAGATTATTACATTTTGTTTTGTTATTCATTTGAAATTCAAGAAAAGTAAATTATTGGATATTCTGTGTACTGCTTTAATGCCTATTTTAAATGAGAAGATCCGTGTTGAAAATTTCAGTTATGCTTCAATTTTACTTTTTAGGATTATGGAGTTATCACAATAACTTCTTGATCTTCGATTCTCTATATCGATGTTGATTTTCTTGCTTAATAGAATCAGTTAGCTGTACAACAATACACGCCGTACAAGAAACGAAAGGAACTCCATATGGTTACAATCGCTAGAAATAAAACTAATACGGTAGCCGAGTCTTTCACACAGCAAGAAAGCATTGATTCACGGATTCATTATCGCAAAAGGATGATGGCAACAAATACTGTGAACAGTTTGGCATGGAAATATAAAAGCATCAAAAGAATTTAGGGAAGGTGTTTTGAAAGTGGCATATGGCATAGTGCTATGTTTACAAGTGCCTTTTTAGACCATGCTAGCATAACTACAAGGCAGTTAGTGCTGTGAAATCAACCGCAATAAGGAGACAGAGAAACAGCTATGCAGAGTTTACTAGCAGTGATTATCATTGGCTTGATAGCCTCGGCGATAGGTAAGAGAGCATTATTAATTTGTGCGTTGGTACACAAAAGCAACAGCATATTTAATCAGTTGAATGTACTCATACTGTTGTGAAAGAATAACCGTTCATTTAAAGCTCTTTATGTTGCCCCCCCCCCCCCCGATATCCAAGGAATCGCTCTTAACTTTATTCATGATACTTTCCGATGCAATTTGCGTCTATAAGAAATCCCCTGTTGTGTCTCTAATCAATATCATGATATTTGAGCCCACAATATCAATTTCTTAAAAACTAGCTGGCTATATTCAACATACAGAGATAGCAGCAACGTTTTACCATTTTCCCATTTAGACTGAAGCGCATTTTTAGTCTTCCTCTCAGTTGGTGTTACTTTTAGTCATTGTTTTGTTTATGAATTTACAGTAAAAATTTAAAGTAGATTCTTTATGCCAAATACTGCGATCCTGTCAATAGTTTGTAATTCAATAATTGAGCAACATAAAAATTCTGAGAAGAACAATTTTTCTTTCTTCCCGTTAAGTATTGCTTGAAAAAAATTCAAACTTGAAGCGAAAATTGGAAGTAGATTAGAAGTATAAGCTAGTTTCTTTTCAATATATGTTGCAGCTTGCAGCTCGAATGTTTGTCCACGAAATAATGTTGTAAACAAAATTTAATAATTTTAGAAAAAATAGAAGTCATTTAAGGGTTAATTTCAAGGGTACGATTCAATGGACAGAGTAATATTTCTGATTAATATTATAAATTCTTAGACATCAAATAAATCTTACAGCTAAAAATTCCAGTTATTAAGTAATAAAGACAGCCGGTCCAATCCTTGATTGGCTAGCACTAACTTGAGAGCATCGCCTTTAGAGGGGCTTCCTCTACCTTTTTAGCATCATAACTTAAACCAACGATGCACGAATTTCGTGGCCATGAAAATTCAAGAAATGTATAAGAAAAATGGACTTAGAATCTCTTTCAGACTGTAGACTTTAGTTTAGTTGTACATAGGATTTTTAGAAATTTTTATGTTTTAATAATTATACTGTAATTTCATATTTTATGCTCTTTAACTTTATATACTTTTTTCGTTGTGTCCCCAATTAGCTTGTAAGCTAAATATTTTTTGACACATTAATAAAGTTTTTGATTGATTGATTGATTGATTGATGAAAAGAGATTCTGAGAACAATGAGGACATACTGCTTTTAAGTTCTTAGTAACGGTGATTCATATAAAGGGGAGATGTAATTGATGTTGGGTTGATCCATCCACGCTATCATCGAACTAAGATGTTTTTCTTCGCTGGTGGAATACACGCCTTAGTGACAAAAGTAACACTAAATGGTTTAAGCGGAGGCGCATAACATATGCTAAAAGAACCCGCACAAAGAATGCTTTCGTCATGTTCGAGCTTGAAAGCGCGTGTATTGTCAGAGCAGGCGGTGATGTTCTTCCGAAAGTGTTTCTGATCCATATCGATCTTTTGGCTTGCTTTTCCTTAGTGACGAGGACGTATCATGACGAATTTTGGCCTGCTTGCCGATTTCTCTTTTCAACTTATATGACTTGGAGCCAAAAAACGGCAATTTGTAAAAATTAAAAGTAAAGATAATTTAATGCATGGTTAAAGATATCTACAGAGATAAATAACAGGTGTGAAAATCCAACCTCATTCTCAGAGTTTGACTTAGGCCTACCGTTGACAGCAAATTTTGTCTGTCATCTCTAATGGCTAAAAAAACTCATTGGGATTCATTTGCAAAAAATGTTTTCAATTCGGCTATCTAATATGTCATAAATGAAATTAAAGGTTAACCCATACGGTAGCGCGATATCTAAATCTCTTAGGAGTGGCATTTTATTTTTGTAGTAAACTTATTTAACAAAGAAAGTTAATCGGAAAACGTTCAGTCCTTGTTTTTTGAGAATTCGATCCGTTTAAGAATGTGCCCCTGCTTTTTGCTCACTCCCTGTCTGTCTTTCGGTGCTTTTACAGATACAAGTCATGCATTAATGCGCGTATAGATTGAAGATGAAAAAAGGCCCACGTTTTTAAAAATATCTCTTTTCCTACGTTTGACTTGAGTTGCCAAATGGAGTAATCTTTCAAAATATCCACTATTTCGCCACTGAAGAATAATTTGCAATTTTGCAGCGAAAAAGGAATTAATAATAAGAAATCTGCGAAATACATTCTTGAGAATGCTAAAAAAAATATTTGGCAATATAGAAAAAATCTTGATTGCATTTAGTGTACTAATTTAGCAGATTGAAGTCTACCAAAAAAGAAAATAAATATTCGATGTTGTGATCCAGTGTGAACAATGAAAATAGCGTTAAATCATCCAAAAACTAGTTTAAACTATGTATTTCAATTGATAAATTTAATTTTAATTTTTGAAATAAACAGAAACAATGAGCATTTTCCAAATTCAGAAATTTGCGAACAATAACGTTTTTCTATTACGGTGTTTGACAAACTTTTGCCTTTCCTGACGCTCCTGATCGATTTGTAATGATTGTTGACAAATTGGACCATGCTTTCAGTTTGGTTCACACCAAAGGATAGATGACAATTTCTTCTAACTTCTAACTTTTTTTATTTCTTTAGTTTTATTTGTCCAAAACTCCACTTTTAGCTGCACTAGATGGCTCTCTGATGAGATTTGCTAAATACAAATTTCATTTTGGCAGGAACCAACCAATGCAGCACAAAATATTTAAAGGCGGGCTGCTTTCGCGATGAGCACGATGGTGACAGTCCGTTGCAAGACTTGATTCTAACACGAAGAGATTGGGCAGATGACCGATTTGATGGCACTCTTATTGATTGGAAAAACTATGATACTTCGTTACATTTGTAAGTACCTATCTATTAAGTAATGAAAAAGTATTTAATATGAGAAAGATCTTCAAATAACTCAACTAACATTTTTATATCTTATTTTGTTTTAACTAATTTGACTGTTGAATTATGCAAACGTGTGGATTTGAGACATGGTAGAACAGAAGTTGTAATATTTCTGGGCAAAAGGCCTTTTAAGAATAAGTTATCCTGTATAAACATTTGCTATCATCTTTTTAATTTATAAATACCACCTGCAGCATCTAACTGGCTTTAATTTCCTGCTAAAAATTAGCCTTCAGAAATTTTTTAGTCTTTTTAAAAATATTTGAAAAATTAACATAATGCTTATGTTTGTTGTCTTTTACAAATGTAACTAGCAATGGCGAATTCATTCTAAGAATAGGCATCTAGCAGCTCTCAAGATAGAATTAATGGAAGCTTAGTGAGATTTGATTGATGCCATTACATTTGAAGGCTGCTATTTTATTTTTCAATCTAAATGGCAGATACTTACTAGATTTTTAAGTAAGTGCAAAGTAAGGGAAGCATGCCAATGAAAATAGCAATAAGAAAGGGGCTAAATAGAATCACAGAAAAGAAGGTCAAGTAAGGTTGAATAGAATCAAAGAAAAGGACGTGCAAAGAGGTTAAATAGAATTGAAAAAAGACGTCTAAAGAGGTTAGATAGGATAACAGAAAGGAGATTTAGGTAGGTGGAATAGAATCAGAGGAAAAGGGATCAAGACCCCGTTTACACGAAACCTGGACGAGATCGGATCCAAAAGTATCCAGTTACTTTTGGATTCGATCCTTGAAATGGCAATGCGTTTTCAAGGGATTCGATCCAGAAACCATTTGCGTTTACAAGGGCACGGATCCAGATGAATTCAATTGGTTACTCGCATGCGCTTTTCGAATATTGGCGCGCATATGACGTTTTGAGAACTTCGTGCGTGATCAAAACAAAAATTAACCTGAACATGGAGGGAGGTAACGCTAAAAAGGGTTACCTTCCTCCTAATCATGGACTAAAGAAAAAACTGCGCTACTTTTAAAAGTAGTATTGGTCTACAAAACTGCAAAGCTTGCAGATGGGCAGGATTGGGAAAATATGAGGACAAAGTACGACAAAAATTTTTCAAAGTTTCGTAATAATTCTTCAGCACAGTAGTCTATCAACTTGATGTTCGGTTTTCTGGTGCCAAAAAGCCACGGATTACATATTCAAACTACCTTGAATTGAAAAATATTCTGTCTCACTTTCGACAAATAACGTATACGGATCCGATCTGGACCAGATCCACCCATTTACACGGGACCGGTCCAGATCGGATACATTCGGGATCACCCCCGAAAGCGAGAGGTGATCCCGTATGGAAAGAAAGAAAAGGAGGTCGAGAGAGATTGAATCGAATTAGAGAAAAGGAGGTCGAGGGAGATTGAATAGATTCATTGAAAAGGAGGTTTAAGGAGAAGTATTTTAGACTTTCTAATAAAACAGAATCTAAGACTCTGGTGAAATGATTCGACAGTTCACCCAATATTACAATCAACATGATTTTGGGTGAAGAGCTGGAACGTTTGAACAAGATGTTTGGTCATCGAATTTCGTCATTTTCTACGCTGGGTAAAATCATAGTCATAAGAAAAGAGACTACATATGCGGTGACTGAGTACGAGCTCTTTTCTTATGTCTATGGTGAAATTTAACTGAAGTAAAAAATGTTGGCTGTCGAAATTCGAAATTTCTATTGTTTTGAAATGTTGGGTGATATGTTGGATCATTCGACCAACTCATCTGTCATTGTTAGCTCTGCGTTAGCGTCGTTGTTAGCTCTGCGTTAGCGTCATTGTTAGCTCTGCGTTAGCGTCGTTGTTAGCTCTGCGTTAGCGTCGTTGTTAGCTCAGTCACCGCATTGTTGTTGATTTCTCGGGTTGATGGCTGGTTCCGTTCATTTCAACATTCGCGATTGATTACAATCAATTACCATTAGATTATGGACAAAATTTAACAGAATATAACGTCAGCAACACAATGCACACAATGGAGCTACAAGGAATTGCAAGAGAAGGAATTTAGGCAACGTGATGCGATGCTCATCCTGAATGACCGCGATGACAGTGAAAATATCTGGCAACGCCTTCCTTGGAGAGAAAGTTTGTAAAGAAGACGGTGGTTGCCTTTCGTTTTCCAGATCAAAATGTCGCGAATCTTTCTGTGTAGACTTCAGCGCGATCTTCTACGTGTAATGTTTTAGGATTTGTATTCTTCAGAAATTATTATCATTATGTTAAGCTAATTTCTTTGATTATGTTGCGTGTTAATGTCACGTGTTTTGTTTGTCGCGCTGTTGTGTTAGTAACCTTCTTTCCGGGAAATGTGCGTCACTGTCATGTGATGTTTCACATTGTTCCTTTGTTTGTGTTTTGATATATGTAAGCCAAGTTGGAATAATTATTTAGTCTTACTGTTTTGACGATAAAGATAACACCAAAGAAGGAGTATCTCTCGTGTGCTATCTATTCGGGGCTCGGGCCCTTGGGCCTAGCTTAGCCCATTGCTCTACTAACGAGCTTGGTTATTAACTGGCTCTTCACCCTCCTGACAAGAACCCATAATCGTTACATACGCAGCCCTTTTTTCGAACTACGCGAGACAATGTTGGTTCAAAAGTGGAATCGTTTGACCATTAACCTTGGATCACTTTCTAACATAACAGAAAATGTTGAGCCTAATGCTGGGTGAAATGTTGAATCGTTTGAACAGGGCTTAATAATCAATTGCAAGAATAGCATTTTACAATCGGTTTTTTTTTCACTAAAGGCTCTATTGCAAATGCGCTGAGCTTGCCAAAAGAATGGGATATACGTATTTTGGGCTGCAGTTTTATGGTGAATGCTGGTCTGGCAATTCAAATTCATCGTCAAAGTTGGAATCCATTTTCAAGTTCAGATCTGATGAATGCATTGAAGGAAGCTTTGCAAAATGTGACACAGAGTCCAAAAGAGAATGCATTGGAAAAAGTCATGCAAATTTCATTTATAAGCTAAAGTTAGAAAAGGGTATGTTTCAACTTTTTACGTTTACTTTATATATCTATTGAGTAACTAATTGGCATTCTACTAAACCTGGAAAATGCCATAGTTTCTTCGCATTTTTTTTGGAAAATTCTATGCTTAGGTAGTTTCCAGCTAAAAGCAAAGGCAGCAAAGTAAAGCTTACAAAGGTAATAAGATTCTTTCTAGCGTTTTTAATTGGATATTAGTTAGTCAGATGTGGACTTGACAAGATTTTGATTCTATTCTCATCTACCGATCAAGTATGGCATTCTAACCATTGAATTTTAAGCAGTTGCTAGATCCTGCTTAAAATGGTCTACAAAAGAGGTAGCCAAACAATTCTTTCCTTCCACTATCTATCAATGTATTTTGTATTTTAAATTTTACATTTTTGTTTTTTTCTACCTACCGGTTGAAAATAGCAAATAAGACACTGTTGTCTCCAGCGACCACTACTGCTCGGTGACAGGGTTTCCCCTAAACCCCAATGTGAGTTTCTCTCTAGACATTCTACAGTGGGCATTTTCACTGAGGCAGCTCAAAGGAAATGAAAGAAGAAACAGCAAGCTTTGTAATTGCATTCTCCGACCTGATAACTGCCTTTGACCTCGTCAGGTCAGAAGAGACGGTCCTTTCAAGACCCTGTTCATAACTGTTTGCTTACAGAGGCTCCTTAGGTTCATCAAATCATTCTTTGTTTTACATGGCCTCGTACCCGAGAATAGCCCTCAGCCCCCTCAGTGTACATTGTCAGTAGGAATATTCCTGCGGTATTTTCATAAACATGACGGCACACAAGGTAAAGCCAATTGCGAGGGAATGGCCGAGAGATATCTCTCTATCTATTTGTGAGTCTTGAAAGAATACTCATTGTCATCATAAATGGTGGCGACGGTATCTTAGATAGTAAGCGGCCTGAGATTTCCTTCCGTAATGCCTAAGCAGCAAGAAATATGCTTCGAAATGGCTTTGAAAAAAGCAAACTTTTGAGCATCTAAAGTTTTTTTCATTTTACACTCTTCAGAGTATAAAACGTCAGAAAGAATAAACACCCCCCCCCCCCCCCCCCGAAGATCGAAATAGGCCAATCAGAAACGCGAGCACATAACTGTAGAGGTTGCCATATCAGTGCCGCTTGCCTATTGAGATAGTTACCAATGGAGTCATAAGGTGAAAACGAACTCCTTTTGTCTGCACAATAGCGGTTTTATCATGCTTATGTTGATAGATCCCAATCATGCCAAATGGGACGACGATCGGGCTTTACTAATAATCCGGAACATGTCGCCATTATAGTTTTTTGAACAATCTAAGATATCAAACTTTTTCGGTCATACGAGGATGGCTATTTTAGCTGAACTGTTCTGCTATAGGGTGTAGGTATGTAGCAGCGGTTTCAACCAGAAAGAGGATATAATTAAATACACGTTAATGTTAACTAAATTACAAGTATCATTCTATCAACAAAGGGGATATAAATTTCTATAATAAATACCCTAAATTTTCAACAAATCGTTTGCACAATATACAGTTGCAATCAAACTGTTTGTTTTTAACGTCTCCTTTGAAGCTATTCAAAGTCTGGGACTCTTCTAAGGATAAGGGCATTGTATGCCATATCTTCAATCCAAGAAAACGTGCATCTTCAAGACCTTACCCTGTCGTGTTTGGTTTTGGTGCCAAAATATTGCTGTTTCTGCGAAGGGTGCATGGAGAATCTTTCTTCACAAAGAATTTGTCCACGAGACTTGGATTGAGATTCCTTTCAGTTTTAAATTTTTTAGAAGAAAGCAACTGCAAATTTTTGTGGTGAATAGACACTATGTCTGCTTTCGTCAACAATTCTTCGAAATTTGAACAGCTATCCTCGTATGAGATTCTCAAAGCTCTCTCGTGAATTTTGTGTATTTTCTTATTAACTGACCTATCACGAAACATCCAAACAAGTGGACAGTAGCTAAACTGAGAAACAACGAAGGAATTCATCATAACCCTCAGTTTCTCAACATCCATATACTTTGAAATGCGTGCAAGTGCACGCAGCTTCTGTCAAACCTTTTTACAAAGTGCGTTTATGTGGTTCTTGAAATCTAGGTTCCTATCCAACATTTTTTTTCAGCAGATTCTGGTATTGTAGTGGCACAAATCTGCACTGATACGTCAGTGTTTTTCTCCCAAAGAATCAAAGATAGCATTTGTCAGGATTCAGTTTCATACTGTTATCAAGAAATCACTTAGAGAGCTTCTGAGCATCTGTGTTAAGGCTAGATACAATATGTTCTAGTTCATGACCGCACACGTAGATGGTCGTGTCATCAGCATAACTACAAATTTTAGTCTCTTCCACCAAAAAGAAAAGATCGTATATAAATACATTAAATAAGAGGGGCCCCAAAACAGAGCCTTGTGGTAACACGTTAATTTATTCTTGCCCAGGAACTGACCCATTGATCTTCACTCGCTGCTTCCTATTAGAAAGATAGTCATAAACAAGTTTTAGAGCAGATCTACTGAAACCGTAAGCTTCGAGCTTTGCAGTGATTAGTTCGTGATTCAGACAATCAAGCGTTTTCGAAAGGTCCATTAGATTTTCAAATGCGAACCCGTTCTTATCTAGATAAGATCTGCATTTTTAATCAATCCAAGCAGTGCATAATGGATATCATAGCTTCTACGATACGCACAAAGACAAGGACACAAAATATTTTCAATGTAATGAGCAATTTGACCTGAAAATGTTTTTTCGTAAATTATAGATATAGCCGTTGACGTTAAGACTGTTATAGGCATGTAATTCTTTTTGCAAAGGCATCATCATTCTTAAAAAGGAATGTAATGTATCCTTTCTTTAATTCTATTGGAAACTTGCTTGTATCTATATTCTCATTTATGAAGAGTTGTACCGATGAAGCAAACAAGTCATAATGTTCAGTTAGCATTTTCACAGTTATGCTGCCAAAAGGAGAAGCTTTAGTCGGATCCAAGTTCTTAAGCTGACTCAATATATCCTCCAAAAAAAACTTGCTGAAAAGAAAATTTTTCACTGGTCGTTACCATTTGCATTATCAGTTTTATACTTGGGTGGCGTTTGTACATATTTACGGCAATATCTATAGGGTCACTAATTCGTTTGCTATTACCAAATTCTCCTTTTCCTCTGAAATTTATAGGCTAGCAGTGATATTGACAAAGTAATCGTTTAGGAATTCAGCAACTTTTTTATCATAAGAGACCAATTCATCACCCTCTAGTAAGGTAATGCTTCCAGGGGTTTGAATTTTATCTGAAAACGAGAGGTTTTACCATTTTCCAAAACTTTCTACTATCTGAAGTATCTTTCCAGTCGAGATTTCCGTAGAAATCAACCTTCCCTTTTTGCAATATCTTGACACATTTACAGGGGCGGACTGGCTAATTTTTTGCCCGGGAAAATTTTTATCAAACCGACCCACAATAATGGCAAACAGAAAAATCCTCGGAAAATACAAGTAAATGTTAGTCTGTAAGGAAAACAAGTTTTTGTATTCAGTAATTTTGTTCATGCTTGGATGCTGGTTAACAGAATATGGTTAACAGAACATGTTAAATATGTCATTTGCTGACTAAACAGTAAATAAACAAAAATTCTAACTCATTGGTTTGACTTTGTTTCTAAATACAGGAACTTTTTTGTTGATAATGTGACCGTTCTGGATGTCATCTAACAGGTGTTTTTCTAAGAACATTAACATGAAGGACTCCAGGTTTGGCTGCAAAAAATTACTACGTAATCTGTTCTTTATATATTTAAAATGGAAAAGCTTCTATCACACTCCATTTGTGACAAATAATTTTCTCGTAGCTTTGTATCGTTGCTAAACCACCCAAAGATAAAAGTCCGCAATGAAATAGTATCTTCCCACATAGCAAATCATGGGCCTAATGGAATGTCTCAGTTTTTCAAGTAAATCTTGATATGTAATTTTCCAGTCAAAGCGTAATGGGGGTTGATATTTTTTCCGATTATTGATTGAGCAGCCAGATTAATTGATTGGCTGAGCAGCAGGCAATATGGAAACATCATTAGCTTAGGCAGGGCTGGCAAAACGTTACAGGAAGGTGGTAAGGAAGGGGGGGGGGCAAAGTTTTTAGATTGCTTTGGGGTTTAGTAGAGTTCATCACCATGGTTAGGTATTTTGGCCGAATTCAAGAAAAAGTTTGGAAATATTACATTACAGGGATGGGCAGAAAATGCATCTAAAATATTTACAACATTAAGTTTGACCAAAGGAGAATCCTAGGCAATGCCTGTCAGCTTTTTCTTACAATAATTTCCATGGTTCAAAGTGGCTTGATTTTGACATAACAGTGGAAAAGCAGTTGAATTTGGTTTTACAATTAATTTTCAAGCATCACAATAGGAATAACGTTTAACAACGAGGAATAAGTTGGAAAAGGTGCCATCGATGTGAGAATCACAGCAGCTGACTCTAGGATAATCTGGACTGAAAAAAACAAAGCTTGGCAAAAATGGAAAGAAATGGAAAAAGGCTTGAATTCCAACAAAAACAAGCAACGTCTCAAGAATGTTCTGCGAAGATTTCCTTCTGGAATGAGCATGTAGAAAAGGCTACAACTTTAGCTTTTCCTTCCTTGCACCCTTATTTGTGGCAGTTTTGACAGTTTTTAACCGGTGAAATGTGTTCGAGTAAAGCCATTATCCTCAAACTTTTTTTCACAATTACCGACAAACCAAGATCATAATCTCAACTTTTAGCGACAAGCGCAACATTTCCGGCACACGTCTTTAAACAAATTTCTAAATGCAACAATTAAAAAACACTGTCTTGTCTATAGAAGACATTAACTAAATGTTCTCAGTAGGAATTCTTCAAAAGTAGAGAGTCATTCCATTCTTTGTTTAGATGTCAAAATCTACATTTAAACTCCACGTCTACATTTTTTATGAGTGTAAAGCTTGTAATGCATCACAGTGTTCCAGCTGCATCTCGTCTCCTGTTCTTGTTCAGTTTACAATGGCAGACATGTAATGGAGCAAACATTTTGTCTCAGCTGTCTGATCGAAGCACAAACAAGGAAGGGGACTGAGCCCTCCGCGTTTTTGATGTGTATTCTCAAATCTAACTGGTTAGCATCAAAGTAATCTACCTTTCCAGAAATTGAGTCAAAAATCTGTCATGTCTTTGTAAATATTGAAACTGAGGGCCCGAAGAGAAATTTTTTTCCGATTTTGGAACTTCCATTAAGTATCGTACCATTAAGTATTAGGAACAGTAAGCTCTGGGCCAAGAAATACTCGTGCTTACGTAGGGCATTCACCTATCTCGAGAGAGTCTAGGTCTCATGGCAAGAAAAGAGGGCCCCTAGCAAACAATACCAGTTGCCATTTCATAGTAGAATGAAGAAAAGTTGCAATAATTTTGGTATCGCCCGGTAGCCCGACCGGCCAGTCCGCCCCTGGCGATAGATACTCAGCTAAGATTTATTTCTGTGATTTATTTCCTTTTTATCTTACTAAAATTTAATTTTGTGATAAGACACTCCATACTAGCAGAAAATTTAAACTGCAGTTCTTTAGAAGGAAACTCTTCTCGTACCTAAACTAATATTCCTCCCCCATTTTGGGTTCGATCATATCTCAAAGGGTGCTTAAATCCTTCTTTGAAAAACTGACCGGGAGGGAATGTAGCATCGATATATGTTTCACTAACAACGAGGATATCTACATTTTCGGCTACCAGGAATTTCAAGGAGTCAAACTTGTTTCGGAGTCAAACTTAACATTCAGTTGTGCAATAATCAAACTCTGTTCTCCCGTAGCTTCCCGAGTACACTTGGATTATCTTAAATGTTTTCATATACATTTCTTATTGTTGGTTGATCTGATTCAGATATATTTTCCAAGATGCCTATACCACACTCATTACTAACCTCATTACACTTTTCAGTTTTATTATCTAGAGTCCCAATATCAAGCAAGCGTCGCGAAGCTTCCAGGAGACTTACTGCTAACACACTGTCTCCCAATTCATTTAAATATAGACGGCTGCGCTTCAGGTGCTCATTTGCCTTCATGTTTTCATGCTCAACAAACAATAAGTTCTCCTTCTTGCACATGTCTTGCAATATAAAGTTTGTTCTGGCTTGCTTTCCTTCGTAGTTGTCTCCTCGAGTAATCAATCCTGAAACGATAGGCTGTATGCCTTGTGTTTCAACCGATTTTATCAAAGAAATGATTTCTGTCCATATTTCTACATCAGATTTGTTTGTTTTCAGTTCATTTGTTCCACAGTGGATAATAAGGCAGACAGGTTTCTTCTTGATCGATGGTTTGCAAATTGCAATAAGTTCTCATTTTGTGAACGTTGGCAACAGGAAAGCTATTTACAAAGATTTGTTTCCCTTTACCACAACTGCATCTCAGACTTCATATTCTTGACCATCCACAAATTATCGTTTTTCTTGTTTTCGTTTGGGGTGAGGATCGGTCTTCTTGATCTTTCTTGGTATGCTCTTCATGTTGTTACTGTTGTTGTTCTTCTTCCTATCATTTTTATTGACTTTCAGTGTTGCCACATGTAGGGATTTCTACCTACTTTGGGGATTTTCAGAAGTTTATAGGTCAGGGCATTTTTTAAGAATTCTCCACTGGTGGGGCATTTGAGAAAAGGGCATATAGATAAAGGCAGAATTTACAGATAAACAGGCTTTCAAAAATATTCTAGGGAAATCGCCTATAGAAGCAGCAGTTCCAGGGAAAAATGAATTGAGATTTGAAACTTGTTCAATGAAGATTTCATCCACCATTATCTCAAATAAAGTAAAAAGTAAAAAAGTCACCGAACCATAAGGGCACTTAAGTGGTGGGGCAAACATGTTCCACTGGTGGGGCAATGAAAGGGGCTGGTGGGGAATTTCCCTACCACTTTATATGTTGAAAAATGCCCTGTTATAGGTTGTAAGGAAAACCTTCGGGATAAATCAAGAAAAGTAATTGTAGGGATTACATTTGTTTGCGGCATTTGATTGCTTGTTTTTCATAGCTTTGAACATCAATTTTCACTGACTTTTCATGCAAATGTAAGAAGTAGTTATGAAAAGATATTCTGCAAAAAAACGCGAAACCATATTTTACGTCAGAGTAATATCTTACAAAAGAATTACTTTTCGTAGTTGAATAATTTTTTTGATCCTCGATCTTTATGGCTTTTTAAAACAGACTTTCGCTGAAAGTTGTTCTTAGAAGCAAGGGTGGAAGTGGGTAAAAACGTGATATTTTGAAAAATGTAGGGATTTGTGGGGAGAATCCACGCTGACATGCGTAGGTGGAGGTAGGCAGAAATTGCCTGCGCAGTAGGGAGAAGCCAATGAGGTGAATAGAAAATGTATTCTATTCACCTCATTGTGAGAAACGATAAGTCGAGCGTGGCAACACTGTTGACTTTATTTGTGTCTTCCGTTGTGCGTTTAGTTGCAGCCATATCGTCTTGTTTCGGAGATTGTGATTCCTCATAGGATCAATCTCTGGTTTGTGGTCTCTCTTCTTGCACTTTCTTTTATTTTTCTTGTCATTCGTGTGTTTTGCTCTTTTCCTTTGCTCTGTTATTTCTACACTTGTTTGCGTATGGATGTACTCATAAGTTATAATAGGCTTTTGTGCATCTGCGTTGTTGCTTTTGTTTTTATTTTAAAGGGTTTCACACCTGCTTGATTTTTCAGGCTTGTCTAAACCTCGCTCCCTTTGCAACTTTGATTTGATAGTAAAATTCTCTTCGGCTAAAATCCGATTTAAATCCCTCCCCTTTTGAATAATTCCTTGACTAGAAACCATCGTTGCAGCAAGTTCCACAAAACTCTTATAAATATCGGAGACCTCGCCCATTTGTGAATACGATAACGAGTGTCGGGAAATGTCGGAATCAGATGACTCTGTTTGTGTCTGTGTCGATTTTATTTCAATAATTCCTAATTTGGCTCTTTTAAGAGTGACATCTCTCAATGATTTTGATAACTCCCATTTTCCTTTTACATCTACATTAGCAATGTCATCTTGAAAGTTCAAAATTCCTTCATCTTCCAGGTTTTGGAAGGCGTTTGTAGTGTCATGCGCATCTAGGCCCAGCAGCGTGTTGGCCTCGCGAACGATCGCTCATTTGTCAATTTTTTTTGCTTGACAAGCTTTATGTTATCGATTCTATCTAGTGCAAGTTTCATGCGAATCTTACTATTTAGAGCCATGCTAGAAACTTACTTAAGCCAAAAAATTACGGAAACAGTATACTGTAAGAAAGACACATTAAGACTACACCAAGCTTTTTAAAAACTATGCTCAGGATTCGTACCCATTTTCTAATTGCTTGTTGCTGATTGAGATAACAAACAGCAACAGAAAGTTCTAAAGGGTTTATTTAGAACCAGGTGCTAAAGAGCTTCCTTTTAGATAAAAGTAAGAGCAAGAAGTAGGGAAACAAACATTTTTGCAATATGCATATTTAGAGGCGAACAAGAAAAGCTTCTTTTTGTCATCCACGCAGATTGCACGAGGATTGAACACCTGTCCATCGAGTAGACTATTTTTTATTTTTTCTTCAAGAAAAATCGTTATCAACCTGCATTTGAAGATTTAATATTGTCAGTGCTGTATTTTTTGCGACATAGGGCGTGTTATAAATAATTGAGTTAAGGCATATTGCGTTGATATTGCAAAATCATCTGCAGGTTATCTTGATTTGATGAATTTCCTCTTGTTTTGCTTCTGTTGCGGAAAACATTCACATCATCTGCCTACATTGTTCATACAAATTTGCTCAATTCTTCTCAAGAAAGTTTCAAAGATTATTCGAAAACATGAGACTCAAAAAAGATAGTGTTGAACCACTCAAACTATTTAATGTCTGGTATGCTTTAAGACACTTTTAAAATTAATATCGACATTTATTAAAATAGTTTTGATTATGCGGAATTTTTGATCACTCGGATTCAAAAATTCTTGCGAAAGTAGTCCGGATGACTGAACAAGCACTGTAAAAGCACTTTGAAAGCACTGTGAAATTTTGTTGAATAGAAGAGAAAGTTCACATTTCAGTCGTTTAAAACGGATGATACGAATAATTTTGCTCTTTCTGACCGCGAAAACTATTGCAAATGTTAAAGAAGCAGTCTTTGTGCATCCAGTGATGTTAGCAAATAAATAATAGCTTTTTCTATCATTGTGAAAATATAACATTATTTCTAGTTTTCTTACATTAAACTTTTTTGAAGAGTAAATAGCTTAAAGACTAAAGAAAATAAAAGAAACCATACAAAGGTTTCCAAGAAAATTGACAAAAATCATACAATGGTTCTTTTGCTTCCTTGTAATCTATAAAAGATCTGTTAATATTTAGCTGATAACTGCTTCTTCCTACCAAGGTCTTCTCGTGAGGTGAGACATTATGTATTTCTTGCCAACGTGATGCAAGTCCCCAGTAGGGCAATGATACAAATGCGAGGAAGCAAAAAATATTCCAATTCTATGTTTGCAAGTATATTTTTAGCTAATTTCACAATGGCTGAGCTTTTTCACACACAAATTATTTCCTGTCTTCTAAGCTAAATATTTGAAGTTATGCATTTTACAAATTTACCATTTATTGTGAGTGTTATTGCGAATTCGGACAAGTTTCCTTTGATTTTTTCAAATTTCAACCTCAGCCAAAAAGATTATCAACGGTGGGTATACCGAATGGTCGGAATGGTCACATTGTTGCAGATCATGTGGCGGCGGATCAAAAGTACGAGTACGTTCATGTACAAACCCAGCTCCATCTCTGGATGGCAACGACTGCTCACAGCTTGGACCTGCTATAGAAATAGGAACGTGCAACAACCATGGATGTGCCGAAGGTGAGAAAATTGAAATCATGTGCCACGCTTTCTCGTGGTTCTCTTGCATTTGCGTTACTCGTTTATTGGTATTGCGAAGTAGTCTTGGCCACCGGGGGATTTGTTTAGTAATGCTAGGGCAAGATTTATGGCTCATGGCTGTTTTCATTCCTTAGGTTATTCTTGGGGGTATTTAAGGTTTGGCATAGTGTTGGTTTCACTTTGCTTGGTGAAAGGCGACGAAAAGAGTGTGCTGTTTATTTTCCCAGCCCTCCCTCCATTTTTTTTCTCTTGATGCCTTCAATAAAATTTCTCGTACCTTTAGGCATTCCTTTATGCTGTTAGCATTTATTTGGATGCTATTAGGTAGGACTGGTGCATCGGCTGTTAGTGGGGAAAAGAGTCTTTTCTTGTCCATTCCCTCTCCTTTATCAATTAAATTTGGGGGTTATTATGGAAAATTCCAAAGTAACCGTTTCCTGTTTAAATCAGTGGTAGGTTTAGCGATTTGCGCCGATGCACCAACGGCCCAACTCGCTCTCGATAATGTGGGAACGTAGCCTCATGACTGATTTTCTGATGTCTAGGGCATGATTTCTGAAAGGAGCTTTTTGCCCTTCATTTTGTTGGTATTTTATTCACGAGTTAGAAAATTAATACAAATAAAACAGGACGTCAAGGCATCAATTTTTAGAAGTAAAATGACATTTTTTATGCAAAAGTGTTTCTAAATTTGGTACAAAACTTGGTTTCTAAAATTTACTTTTCTACTACATGCCATCATTACAGGGAACAAAAAGAAGGCCTGTTAATACCTGCTTTGAAAAAACATAAAAAAGCTTCATAGCGGCAGTTCATTAACAGTTCTTTGCAGCAGTTACTTAAATGATTTGTCAGAATATTTAGTTGTGAATTCTGGGATCTTTCGAAATTAATTTCATTTCTGAAAGAACTTCTTTGTTTCATTTTGTAAATTGGGCTTCCAAAAAACACATTTTAATTTTTTTACAATATATAGAAATTTACATAAGATTGCATAAAAATCTAGATATGCTTTTGCTGCATATAACAGAACATTCTAAGCTGCTACTTTAAGTTTTTTAATGACTGCCCAGTAAAGAGCAATTTTCATAATCTGGATAGAAAGTTCCCTCCAGATAATTTTTGCAAGACACCCATCAAAACGACCACTCATTGAAATTTTGTCAATTGCCTAATCTAAAGTTTATTGTCAAAGAATATTTTTCAGCAATCTTAGCCATCTAATCGACAAAATAGAGTATTGATAGTTAAAGTTAATAGTTATAACTATTACATAAATCTTCTGGAATTAAATCAAAAATTTTGATTTTCAAAAAACTTCATAACTAAACAGAAAAATAGGTTTGTACGAGATAGTAAATTCACACGATATAATTCACATATAGATTTATGTACCAGGTTGTGCTTGTAAAATTTCTGTCTGAATTAATATCTTAAATGATGTACTTCAGATTTCACTTGATTTTCTTGCCTGTTGGAACTTAGTTGCTTGACCGTACCATATCTTTCTCCCGTTTCACATCGTTTACGTCAATCGTCCATATGCTTGACTGCCAGTGATATCCTACAAATGTTTTCTGTTTTTTACCTTCCATTTTTAGGTCTGGCTATTGTTCTGATATAACAGAAAGTATCAGTGTAGGCTTGATATTGATTTCTTTGTTCTATACCAGTTGAGCCTTCCTTGCCTGACTCAACCGGTCAAAAATTCGAGAGTGCTCTCGTTCTTACATAGTGTTTTCTAATGTCATATAATTTTTGAAAAATTATCAAACATGCTAATTTATATCGTAGAATATCATATGCACCATTGAGGTCTCTGTTAAATAAGTCAAATTTTTTCTCGGCCAAAGAAAAGCATAATTCGATTTTTTCTGTGGAGATTTTACATTCTTTTTTATACTTTTTTGCAGTTTTAAACTGAGAAATTTTAAGATCCAATACAAACAGAAAAATGTCTAAAATCCACGCTTTTTATGAATGAATAAGCAAGGAATTGCTGTTTTGGAAAACTTTTGCTGTTGATATTGAATTAAAAGTCTAGCATATGTATGAAAATTGATTGTATGAAAACTAGAGAATATCAAAAACAGAAAACTACATTTTTCTGGTCAAATCTCAGATCTAACATTTGGGCGATGATACTTTGTTTAGTTTATTTGTTGATTTGTAATATTTTTTATCAATTGTTTAAGGCTGAGCTTTGAGGGAATCACGATAGCTATGAAACCTGCCAGAAAATTTCTGTCCATAAGATTAAGCAAGATAAGATATTTGTTTTAGCGAATTATATTTCTAGCGAATTATTACAAAATTATATCGCATAAATTTGCCATTATCCTGCAACAAAATTGTGAACAGTTTTATTTGGAATTTCGATTTGCTAGTTTATTGCAAATTACTGCTTCACTGGTCTGTTGCAAAGTGCTCTGTGCCATGTAGGCAGAGCTGAAGGCGCTTTGGTGCATAGAAGAAGCCATTTATAAGCTGCAGCTCAAGAGTTTAACGCTTAAAAGAATGTTTAGTTTCAATTAAGAGAAATGTTTTTCTTGTCAGCATGCAGACAGGCAATGGATCTGGGCATTATCATTGATGCATCACGGCATGTAAAAAGGCGCAATTTCATGAAAATAAAGAGATTGGTATCAAAACTGAGTGACGATCTGGAGATATCAACTGAAGGATCACATATGGGAATTATTCATTATGCTAAATTTCCATACATTGATTTTACACCAAGAGATGTCCTATATCATGACCGAAAACAGTGCAGATCCAAGATAGCTTCAATCATCTTTACAAATGGTAATTATTGTCAAACAATATTTAAATCATTATATTTCAAGCCAAAATGGTTGCATGAATATACATCAAGCTCGAATAGCAACGATTTTTTGTCATTTGCCCCATTTTTTTAAAATAAGAAATAGCTATTTGCATCTATAGTAAACAATCTTCAGTATATTGACTAACTGGATATAAAAGTTTGTGAAACGCCTACTATAGTACATTTGACACAACAGAGGGACGAGGCTATCACAGGCACTTACGCCTTCAACTTTTTATGTCATTTTACTTCAAATTGCTTGTTCCTGATAATTGTTTGGAAAATTTTCCGGATCTCAAATATGGAAGAAAATTCTGTAATTTTTTACAGGTGGAAACCGTCTTGACAGAGCTTTACGTGCGGCTGAAAGTGATTTTTTCTGTGACTTGTGTATTCGAAGAGGAGTACCACAGGCTCTATTGGTAATAACAACAGGGAAAACTGGACCCAAATCAGAGGATTTAGCACTAGCTTCAGCTAAAATGAAGGTAGATTTTATCACAATATTTGAATTAGAGAATTTGTATAATAGAATTCTTAAAATTTAAGTGTATTCTCTATATATGTGCCTCATTTACACTTGTATTTGCTCCTTTAAAGGAAGCTGGAGCCTGAAAAGATTTGTTAAATGCTTGCTAGTCAGAAAATGCTCACGAATTTAGAAAGATGAATATATGAACTTGGAAATAATATAAAAGACTGAATAAATACTTTAATTTTTCTTTTTAAAGATAATATTAAGTTAAAACTGGTCTATTCATGTCTATTACAGAGTTGTATTTGTGCCAAAAGATTTCATGATAATTTAGTATTAAGGTCATAAATTTTCCTATCACCAAAGATCACGTGGGCATGGTTGATTGTAATGATTAGGCAATTTTATTTAGTGTGTGTGGAGGAAGAACCGCAGAATAGGCTGTCCACCGGATTCTGTGAATCTTGCAATGAGTGTTGTTATGAAAGATATACAGGAACAAAGCAATACGACGACGAGAATCCACGAGATAAAATTTTCAAAAGAAATTAAATTTAAAGAATATACTAATATTTCGCCCCGGCATACAGGGCTTCATCAGAGTAAAATGAGATCGCAATTCTATTTAGCATTGAATTTCTAGCTCAGATCATTCTTTGGAATATGAATGGACCATTTCTCATAATGAATATTTTCGAGGACTTTCTGCATGTACTTTTTGTTGGATTGTTTGATTGTATTAGCTTTAGAAACGATTGAAGATATCAGTACTTTGAGGTATTTCTCGTTATTTTAGGCAAAAGGCGTCACAATCATAGCTGTTGGAGTTGGTAAAAAATTGCGATCTGATCAGTTGAAAAAAATCGCCTCAGAACCTGCCAAAAAGCACGTGTTTAAGATTGGTACTTTTGATGGATTGAAACTGAAGTTGAATGAGATTTTACAATCGGCTTGCAATGGAAGAGCGGCCTGAGCAATTCAATGACTTTTAACTCTTATGTGGGTGATCTAGATTAATGATCAAATGAGATTAACAACAAGTATTAGATTAACAAGCAGTAACTCTTATTCCTTTCTTTCAACTTTAATGCATCTTGTTGGCATTTTGAGTCGTTTTTGAGTCAAATATCGTGCCTCTCTGAAGAAACTAATTTCACAGATTCTGTCGATATGGGCACGAGATTTTGAAGGATTTTAGCTTTAGATTTGGAAGGATTTGCGGTCATACAGGGTTTTAATTGAAAAGAGTAATTAGGAAGTAAACAGGTCACAAGTTGCGGTCACAAGAAAGTAAACAGGTCTAAATTATGATAATTATGATAATGAATATTATCATTTTCACTATTATTTTTATGCGGGTGATTTCTATTCGTGCTCGTTCATGACCCTGGTATGTCTCTCACTGGACGAGCTGACCAAAGAAGTCCTAGATGAAATTCTGAGACATATTTGTCAATCTTTTTTGTGCAAAACAATGAGTTTTCAGAAGAGCTAAATGACCGAAAAAGATTCCGGCAGTTTCTTGATGACATAATGGAAACAGTTCTTTTAAGAACTAGAATAGTTTCTTGGCTAGAGGGAAGTGTAAATGCTGGTGTTTCCGAGAAGGGCTGTTGCGCGGAGGAAAAAGTGGGTAGGAAGGGTTGTAAGGAAGGAAAAAAGAGGGAAGTTTAAAAAGACAGGTTTATTTAGATGTAAATTTAACCAGAACGAAAAAAGGTGTTGTGGGAATATTTTGTTAGGAGTGGTGGTCGAAGAGTGGATGGGTTACTACAAGAAAGGTAAATGTATGTGGGAAGAGAGGGATTAGAGTGTGAGAAGCATCATCAACCTTCTTTCGAAGCCAATAGTGTGTTGGCGGATGTTGAAAGGGTGGTCAGCAGTGGCGATGCCAAGAAGGCAAGTTCTACATATTTCTTCTAGAAACGGATCAAAAAGGGCTAGGTATTTCCTAATAAATATTTCCTAAGAAAAATTAACCTGCTACAAGAGGGGATCTGAGAAAGGTCTAGTCACTGTTGCATCAGTCTGGTTGAAGGTGATACCCAAGAGAACGGGAAGGTAGTTTGTGAAGAGCTGGGCAGGGAGAGGGTTTAGAAAGCTGTAAGGTAGAGTAACGGGTGGAAAGAAGCGATTAAATTAGGGCGTTGACTGAAGAAGATATTAAGGCTCTCCATTGTTAAGGCAGGTGTTTTACAGTGATGGGATCATAAAAGTATCTAGTCTGAAAGCAAAGGATTGGAGTATGATGGGAAGGGAGCCTCATACAAGAGAAAGGTGACATTGACCCATGTAAATCGTTATCTTTATGCCGGATCTTTATGTTGTGTGTGGAACAATGTATGCAAGAACGACAAAGCCCAGCTGTACAACGAATTAAGTAGCAAAAATCGCAAGGCTAAACACATTTTACGAATGCTGATGAGGCAAGAGAATTGAGTAAGAATTTGTTTGAGGTTTGCCTGTTCCGATGTAGAGATTTGACCAAACTACTAGGAAAATTCCGTTATTATCAAATTAAAATGAAAGTTGCGAATTATATACAGATTTAAGTTGAAAACATGCATTGCAGAGGTTTGTGACAGCAACTAAAGAAGTTCAGACAAAAATTTTGTAATCAGGAGAATTTGTAGTCCACCTCCACCCCCCCCCCTCCCCCCTAACAAGGCTTACCTTGCGACAGCTCTCCATATCAGCTGCCATTAAAAACCTGTATGATAAAAAACATGTCTGTGAATGTAGGTAGACAAAATCTCTTTAGAAGCTAATATTCTTCACAAAGTTGTCTGGGTTCGCAGCTCTCATATTTTCGTCGTCTTATAAAATATTTCTCACACTAATAAGGGCAGGGGCGCGGTGGCAGTTAACATTTTGGGGGGGGGGCAAAGCTGAAAATTTTCCGATAAAACTATGATTTTTCCGACAAATTTTTTCTCAATACATTCCTTGAAGATTACCCTTGCTGCATATACTGCAACACTTGATACTACAATATCACGAATGGATCTGGAAATCGTTAACGAATGGATCGTTCGTTATACACCTTGAAGTTCAACAATAGCCTTTATTCTAACAAAACTTACCAAATATAAATCGCTATGAACAAAACTGCAACTAGTTATAAATTTACACCCTACAAGTCTTCTCGCTATACTAGACAATAAACTGTCAAGTTAGTGTTTATAGCTGTTCATAGCAAAAAGTTTTTTTGGCAAATTTTAAATCGCATCATAATTACTTTGCATTTATTTATGCTAAACCTTAAATAGATATAACGCGTCCAAAAGAATAGTTTTCTTTTAACTGAAATTTATATAAACTGTTACGCAAGCAGCATCTTTCTCAAAAGAGGTGTGGCAGCATACAAATCGATGATGTCACCATAGTCTATCGACTGTAAAATATCACTTTCGACGTTGATTGTTATCAGAGAGGAAAGGCGGTCTTGTTCCATTGTTGACCGTAGCCGATTTTTTACAATCCTCAGCTTTGAAAAAGCTCTTTCATAATTTGTTGAACCTATTGGCAAAGTGACGAGAATCTTGTAAAGAAGGACCAGCTGTGGGAAGGCACTTTGCAGGTTGTACTTATCATCAACTGAAGAACTGAATGGAACTGAAAAGTGTTCTCTTTCTCCTGCAGCCGGGAGAGGGCTGCTCTTCTCTCTAACTTTCCAAAATTTACGGTAATTATTGACGAAAGAGCTGTACTCATCTCTTAATTTTTTGTCATCCAGGCCGTAATTCTTCGCAACCTTTTTGAATTACACTGCACACAATTGCCTTACAATTGTTTTGTGAAAATATTCAGGGTTGAGCAAGGCAAAATCTGTCAAAATCGCCTTATGAGACGTGACTCTTGTATTCATTGAGCTGATAGCTGTATCTACTATCACGATGATATACGAATTCCCTATTTCCCTCTAATTCATCTATGCAATTTTCCCCTGGCATCTTTTTCTTTCTGCGTATTCGTCGCTCGACAAAATTTTCCTCTTCTAAGTCATGGCAAAAATAATAACATTTTGCGTCTTCTACAACACCAACGAATTCATTTGGAAATGAACTGAGTTGAATTTTAACTGTCGGAAATGGGAGTTTATAAAATAACTGAGACGAAAGCGTTGATTTCCTCTACAAATTTCTGCAATGCGATGATTCCGATAAATACTCTAATGAAAATAAGTAAGAAGGGTTCAGCATGCCCTATTTTACGACAGGTTTAAACAAATATGCGACCTTTTGGACAGGATCGATGAAAGCCTTACATTTTGTCTAATATTTCAAATTTTCCGACAAACGTCGGATTTTCCGACAGTCCGACAAAATTTTTGCCAGGGGGGGCGGCTGCCCCCCTCCTGCCCCCCAGCCACTGCGCCCCTGCATAAGGGTCGTAAGGATCGTGAGAAACGTAATTTTAAGGTTTATGACGCTTATGATCAAGTGAAAACACCAAGAATCATAATCGTGAAAAAATTAGCACTGAAATTCGTGACTTTTTCATCTTTACGTTCCTTACGACCGGATATTCTGTGTTTTGAGAATTAGGTGACAGAATTTCCTGAATTCCAGTCGAAGGTTTCACACATTGCTCCTTCTCTCGTTTGCCTTAACATGGAATTTATTTTCTGTATACAAAATGGATCTACCTCGCGAGTAAAGAATATCTATCGTGAAATTCAGCTGCTTGTAAGACAAGTCTTCAAAAGACTACAAGTTGGCAAAACACCTTGCTCAGATCTCCTTTTGAAAATTTGGCGAAATCCAAAACTCTTTCTTTCCTCGTATTTTAGTAACTTGCAATTCTTCGACGCCTTTATCATCTTTTGATTACAATCTACACTGCCAGGAACACAGGGCCGCCGGAGCCAGGGGGGCCACGGGGGCACAGGCCCCCCCCTGTTTGCAAAAAGTACAAAAAGTGCCCCTTTTTGATAAATAAATTGCGTGTTTTTTTCAATGCCAGATATTCTGCCTTAAGAAACTAAGTAAAATAACGTAATTCTGGGCGTTGTTGGAGGACCATTCACTGAATTTCCTTGAATTTTTACTTGGTCTTGATGCAAAAAACTCAAGCTCCTGTGACGAATGATATCAACTGTGAAGGACACTGCCGTTTTCGCGAAAAAATGTCCTTAGTATCTCTTCAGCAACAAACGTATTTGTGAAAGTTCTGCATCAAGCCCCCGGTGGGCACAGTCAGTTGGTGCAATGTATATCGTGTGTGTTCCTGAAGGTAGAAGCTGGACCCCTACCTCTGATTCTGGGTTAAGTAAAATGTACCCTATTCTGCGACTTTGTCAAAAATTGTGAAACTCTTTTCACTGAGTTTTTTAAAGCTTAAGCAGGAATTTTTTATACCAATTCATGTTAGAACCATTCCTTTTCTTAAACTTATGTCTAGGCAAGTTAAAAGCAGAGTTCACTAAATTTGATTTTAACAACAATCCCTTATGATTCTTTATATATATTAACAAAATCAGACAGCTGTAAAGCTATAACTGCAACATATTGCTTACTTCACAAAATTGTGTTAGATGTTTTTATGAAGACATGAGAAAGTTGTGTCCCTGCAACGAGTAAATGCTAGCAGTAAAGGGTTTTTAAACAAAGACCTAAATTTTTTATCTAGGATTAGAACAACATACAAGACTAGATGCTGAATTTGTTGTACTTCAATATAATTCCTGCCCTTTTGTGTTTTCCCAGACTGATTAAAAAAGCAATCCTATTTTCAAGATTCTATGTTCCAGAATTCTAGTTTACAGACCACACTTTCTCAGAGTTTTTTCGCAACTCACATGTACTACGTTTGACCAACTGACTGAGCCCACCGAGATCAAGTCTAAGGAGAATTGAAAACTTGTTTTGTTCATAAGACTGATGAGATGAACCTAATCAATGTTGCAAATTGAATTTTCTATGGCAGTGAAAAATGTGTCCGCACCTTCAGCCGATTGCGTAAAGATCACTTAAACATAAAAATTTGTAGCTTTTAAAAAATATTCCGTGGAGACGAATAAATTTATGTGTTTAAGTGGCGATGGGAAGGCGCTAATACCAAGGGGGACTAGATTGTATATGAAAGTAAATAATTTAAAATCATTATTGGAATGGGCTTTCGATAATCAAAGAGACTGAAACTTTGCTTTGAAAGAAAGAGGGACTCGAATTGGCTTGGAAGTATTTCGAAAATTTCATTCAGTTCATAATTTTGATTGGATTGGTTGGTATTTGTTAAGTATAATTCGCCTGACACAAGTATTAAAGAACGATGTGTGCCTGCTTCTTACCCGGGGCCAAATTCACCTACACTGAATATTATAAGAAAAACAAGTACAGCTTATTGTAATAAAGGTATAAATCATAGATGGAAGAAGATTTACACTCTAAAAAAACTTGAGATGGGAGCTATACAAATAATCATGATCAAGAGTGCGTGGTCCCTAAATGGAGTAAATAGCCATGTCTGCTTTCAGCGAAGATAGTTCTCACTATGTCCAGCATGTGTCATTATTTTTATAAATTTCTAAATTACCATGAAGCTGTACCATTTTTGGTACTTACCAATGTTTTGGAAAAATATATTCGTGCCCTTTTTTTCGTTTTGGCCCTCCATTTCTGGACTGTAAATACAAAGTTTCTGTTATTACTATCAACGTTACGGTCAGCATTATCAACATCCTCACCACTTCTGGCATCCTTTTCAGCATTATCAACATCCTCACCACTTCTGGCATCCTTTTCAGCATTATCAACATCCTCACCACTTCTGGCATCCTTTTCAGCATTATCAACATCATCACCACTTCTGGCATCCTTTTCAGCATTATCAACATCCTCACCACTTCTGGCATCCTTTTCAGCATTATCAACATCCTCACCACTTCTGGCATCCTTTTCAGCATTATCAACATCATCACCACTTCTGGCATCCTTTTCAGCATTATCAACATCCTCACCACTTCTGGCATTCTTGTCAGCATTATCAACATCCTCACCATCATTACATTATTCATTATTATATGCAGTATACATCCGTTTCTTGCACTCGTAATGGTTCTCTAAATGTTAGTGTGCAACATACAAACTTCCATATAATAATAAGGTTTGTAAGTGTTATGTTTTTGACAACTGAATTGATAACTGGTTTAGAAAAAATTTATAAATTCTTTGATTTAAGTTATTTAAAAGCTAATTAAGATCAACTATTTAAACTAACGACATAAAAATTGATATCAAATATGTACAAAATTCAATTTATGAATAAATAGCCTAAATTTGGATAAAATATTTTAGATAATCAGGAGTTTCAAACTTGGCATCTATTGACTTTAATGTGTTTTTTGAATATCTGAAGGGAGTCTGAATGTTTCACCTCTGGTGTTAGTGTCTTCCATAATTTCTCCCCTATAATTCTTACTGTATCAATTTCTTTTTTTTTCTTGCTTCTCAATTTTGCCAATGAATGAAATAACTGTGATGATAAGCATTGTGAACAAACAGAGATTAACATGAAGCCAAGTTTGAAGTTTCAAATCTAACTTTGATAGCACAAAGCTGCATTTTCTCAAGAATGTCCTCAACCGTTGGCATTGGGAAATTTCTCTTAAAACTGCTTGGCTTGCACATCTCATGTCAAAAAGTTTTCATTTTGGCTTTAGTGCAAAAACTTCCAATAATGGCCAAATTACCTAGTTTTAAACTTTCCATATAGACTCTGTCCTTTACTTACAAACCATTTGCGTGTTTGTAACTAAGATAAAGCAAGAATAGGTAAAAAAACATCCAGACCGTTGCGACCGTTGCAGTTGCGACCGTTGCAGTTGCGACCGTTGCAGTTGCGACCGTTGCAGTTGCGACCGTTGCAGTTGCGACCGTTGCAGTTGCCACCGTTGCAGTTGCCACCGTTGCAGTTGCCACCGTTGCAGTTGCGATCGTTGCAGTTGCCACCGTTGCAGTTGCCACCGTTACAGTTGCCACCGTTACAGTTGCGACTTTCAGAATTATGAGAAGTGTTTTTGTCAGATTTTTGTAATTTTCACACCTCAGTTTTATAATCACTTTCAATGCTTACGGAACATTCAGCTTGTTATTTCTGACATCTGTCAAAGGTTTAGCAATGCAGTTTTATCTTCTGCAACTTCTGTTTGGTTAAATCAATGGTCAATAGCGATCGACATTCATTGCGAGGGACCTCAGAGGGGGGAGGTGTTGAGGAGGACGGGGTAATTAATTTTTGACGGGGACGTGCCATTTTGATTAAAAAAATTTGACCCATAATTTCGCACATGTCCCCGTACCTTCAAACAAGGCAACCTCTAAGGGAGGGACAGCGGAGATCAGCAAATTGAAGAAATCTTTTCAATTTCAGCCATTCAAACAAGCAATTTTAAAACGGACGAGACAGTGGCTAATATACAATATGGCTTAATATACAATATGGCTAATAAACATGGCTAGTAAACAATATGGCTAATATACAATATGGCTTAATATACAATATGGCTAATAAACAATATGGCTAATAAACAATATGGCTAATATACAATATGGCTAATAAACAATATGGCTAATAAACAATATGGCTAATATACAATATGGCTTAATATACAATATGGCTAATATACAATATGGCTAAAATACAATATGGCTAATATACAATATGGCTTAATATACAATATGGCTAATATACAATATGGCTAATAAACAATATGGCTAATAAACAATATGGCTAATATACAATAAGGCTAATATACAATATTACTAATATACAATATGGCTAATATACAATATGGCTAATATACAATATGGCTAATATACAATATGGCTAATATACAATATGGCTAATAAACAATATGGCTAATATACAATATGGCTAATAAACAATATGGCTAATATACAATATGGCTTAATATACAATATGGCTAATATACAATATGGCTAATATACAATATGGCTAATATACAATATGGCTTAATATACAATATGGCTTAATATACAATATGGCTAATAAACAATATGGCTAATATACAATATGGCTAATATAAAATATGGCTTAATATACAATATGGCTAATAAACAATATGGCTAATATACAATATGGCTTAATATACAATATGGCTAATATACAAT